CTCAGGGTTGTGTTTAATGTTCACTCCTGCTTATATACTGAAGATACAACCTAGCGGTCACAGTGTTAACACTCCCCAATATCTATTACAATTAGTTTTTGATTAAGAAGCCTAGCATGGCTTTTGAAGCCTTTTATGTTGTGTCAAATGGCTAGTGATGGAGTGAGATGCACAGACACCTCCCAGTAACAAAGCATCTTGTAAAAGGTTTCAAGTGAACTATTTTATCATCCTAATGGAAACCAGATGACTCTAACTCCCCCTTTAATTTCAACTATTTACTGAAGAGTCCTTGTTTTGAATTACTTAAAGATTTATTCCAAACCACTATCTCATGCATTAAGAATCACTAATAACAAAGCCATTCTGAGCGGAGCAAAGCTTTTAAAGAATGTGACTATGCCATTGCATTTATTCTTAAGTTTAAACCTCGTTTTTTAATGGCTTTCACATTTTTATATCTCAGTTTATTTTCTTTTTTTTTCTTCATTTTATTTTTATTTTTTTTTCCTTGAAATTCCAAACACATTTTTCCCCATTCATTTCCAGTCTGCAGTTTCTTGCCCTGCTGACAGGGACCGCAGGCTGGAGCTTGGATGGTGGAACTGAACCTATGCATGTGCTCCTTCCTCCCACCCTCTGGAGAGCCTCTATTTTGGGTCTCCTGGGTGGGCTTAGAACAGGAAGGAGTGCCAAATTAAGGCTCTGGGGGGAAATTGTGTCCACCCTGCACAGCTTCGTTATTTCTGCTGAGCAGTAAAATTTTCAGGGGACGAAAGTGTCGCTTCACATTAAATGTTGTGGCCTGATGGCTGGATACGCCCCAGCTTGGCCACTCTCCCTTGGAAAAACAGGAGGACCAGAGGGAAATCTGCTGCTTTGCCCTTGCCCACTATCTCTGCCAGGCTCATCCCTTCCTCCCAGCCACATCTCTCCCTGCACTGCTGTAGAAGGAACCCTGAAATCACTGGGATTAACTGGATTAGCGGTGCAAAGCGAGTCTCCTTTCTCTGCTGCTGCAGTATCTGCTGCCTGGGGTACAGACCTCCCCATTTCCGTGGAGCCTTGCAGAGACACAGAAATTGCTCTTAATGAGCACAGCCATGAGCTGGTTTTCATCCCAAAATGTGACACTGTTATTTACATCTGCCAGTATTTTACCGAGCTCTCCAGCTCCCTGTGGACACTGTCTTCTAAGATGTTTCAGGCGACGCAGCTGCAATGTTCTTTTGCCAAAATGCCCTTTTGACTCAGACTGTAAAGTTCTTCAGTATACATTTTAGTGGCATTAAAAGGATTAAAGAATGGCATAGTTAATTAAAGATAGATTTTTTTTTTCTAGTAAATTTATGAGAAAAATGTTAAGGAAGAGGAAGGTGGAGAAATACAGCTGTCCAAAAATAAGAAGAGGCTGTATAATAAAGTGTAGCCATTAAGTGTCTTGAGAATCTTAGCTGTATTGAATAAGGAATTTGGACAAATAGAAGATGGCCTATTTTAAAAACATTAAACAGGCTTTTGTTGCAATGAACATCAATAACTATTGACCTTTCGTGATCATGAGTCTTCTGAGCCACAAAAACAGTTAACAAATCAGACACCCACTCCAAATGGAGAGCTTTTTTATCCTTCACAGAGATTTCAACTGTGTGAACACGTATTTTCAAATCTAGATCGAATCTAGAGGCCTTTAGTACCAGCTTTGCATGTACTGGTCTTTGGACAGAATTAGAGTTCTTGGTATGATGAGAGGGAGGGAGTGAAGTGCTTTAGGTGGGGTTGAACCTCAGGTCATACAAGGGCATGCAGTGATAGGACAAAGGGGAATGGCTTTAAACTCGCACAGGACAGGCTTAGATTAGATATTAGGAAGCAATTCTTCACTATGAGAGAGGTGAGGCCCTGGCACAGATTGTCCAGAGAGGCTGTAAACAATCCATCCCTGGAAAGGTTGGACGGGGCTTGGAGCAACTTGGTTTAGTGGAAGGTGTCCCTGCCCATGTCAGCAGGGTTGGAACCAGATAATCTTTAAGATCCCTTCTAACCCAAATCAATCTATTATTCTATGATACCAAACAGGATGCCAAAAGGCGAGGCATATCTGACATATAATTGTCTGAATCCTAAAAACATCAAGGACAAGAATGTATCTACAGCTTGTCTCCTCTTATTCTACCATAATAAGAAACATTTTTACAGTGGTGGATAAAACAGGTATTAGTTAATAACTCACTAACATTAACTACATTTCAGAATAACAAAGTATATTTCATTTGAGGAACAGGGAACAGGAACCACAAAATAAAATGGTCATATGTTGATGAGATGACAGAAAAGTTGTTAATTCTCAGTTCTTCAGCCAAGTTATTAGGCTGAGTTGCATTGTAAAACTGAGACTGCCTATAAACTGTATGAACACATAAATACTTCTGCGTTTGTAAAATCCGTATGCTGGCACACAGAGATGGTGACTTCTGCATATCACTAAGAAAACTTTAATAAACTACATTTTGGTAGAAGTCAGGGAGAAAGTCTCTTCTCCTCCCAGTATAGCATGAATTTTGTGTTATATCTGCAGGCCCGCAGTGGACTCCTAGTTCTCCAAGTCCATCATCAGAAACCCTTTCCCATGAAGTATTCCATCAATTTTCTTTGGCAGGCCTGAAATGTCCTCTGCTTTCTGACTGTACCTTTTAGATGTTTCTGCAGTTTTACTTAATGTTCAGATAACACTGTTTTACTTAATATTCAAAAGCAGCATTGTTTTTAAATACTAGAGAAGTGTAATATTTATCCATAGAAATATTTTTCTACAGTTCCTCATAGTGTGAGTACTGATGATTATTGTTGAAGAACTGGAAATTTCACTACTTTCTAACATACAGTTCTATATTCTTTGAATAATTTTTAGTTAAAATAATAGTTAAAAGTAAGAAGCCAATTGATTTGTGTCCACTGAAGTTTGCACGATGAAAACATGACAGGAGAGATGCAATTAGTCTCAGATCTGGCTGCCTTTATTTCCCAGCTTGAACAACCAGGGACCTGTTTACAGCCAAGTTAACTAGGACTAATTGTGGACCTAAAAGCAAGGCCTGGCTTCATGGTAATTTTGGTATTGGTCTGGGATAAACAGATAGGGCTGCACATAGAAGCTGCTGCTGAGCTGGCAAGCCAAAAGGAATTGAGAAAAAAAACCTCTCAATTTTTAGGATGTGGGAGAGAAATGCTGAGGATTTATATTTTAGGAAAAAAAAATGTTGGGAAAACTTTTACCTTTGGCAATTTAAAGTATATTTTGCTTAGAAGCAATAAGCAGCTCTAGTGATTGCTGATGGAGTATTAAATCCAAATATTCATATATTTTAATGTCTTTCCATAATGAACAAAAGCAATGTATTTGAGGATGAAACCAATTCTTTAAATATTTCATATTCTACAGGGTTGTCAACAGGACAGCATCAGTCTGAGAATCAATTGCAGGATGAACAGATGTGCAATACTTTTTTCAGTGATTCAAATAAATTTGCTCTCCATGAATTAAAAAATAGTTTGTTCATAAGTTGAGAGAGAAGAAAAAATGAGAAACGAATGTCTTAAAATTCAGGCTTCTCTAGGTTTAATTTTTAGATGATTTTAAAATATGGGTCCTTGCCCTTTCCAAAGTTATTTCTATTAGCTATTTTCCTAAGCTTGCTATAAACTGCCAGTTTTCCTCTCTGTTAATTATTAATATGACCTGTTTATGTACCAGTTATCCAGCTAACCATTAATGTCTGTTTACTCATTGATGACCTTTGCAACTACATGCCAGGCACTTGGCTAGTAAATGTCAACATTTTTTAATAACCTAAAAAATACTCTTCATAGCTTATCTACCTAAAATTTTTTGAAGTGAAAAACAAAAATTAAACACTACTTACAATAAACAGACATTTGTATAAGGCTGTTTCAGCCAAGTGGCACAGTGAAAGTAAAAGAAAAAAGAAATTACTGATATTCTCTGCTTATGGTTTTGTTTTAAAATACATAACAACAGGAAAAAGTATAGGTGCAGAATGCAAGCATAATAAAATGTTTTTCAAAAAGAATTACTATGGATAAATCTTCATGAATTTTTTCCTCAGAATTTCAGTATTAACCTGAGCACAAGTAGAATATCTCTTCCATGTGTTCTGGTAATAGCCAAAGGCTACACTGAGAACACAATCACATTAAACCTGAAAGTGGTGACACTAATTTTTACCCATGATAGAAAACTCTATCTATACTTTTGCTCACTAAATGTACCTAATTTAAAAAGACAAGCAGTAGCCCAAGTAGCCCAGGATGAAAAAGAATATGAGGGCACTTCCCACCCAAATTGATGTGTAGGATGGCCTCATCCAATCTGCAGTGGAGATAAGTGGAACAGGCAGGTTTCTTTTTCCTTGGTCCACTAACACCCTTTTCTCACAAAGGCCTTGAAATATTGTCTCTGTGATTACAATTTGCAGGTTAAAAATTGGCTTCCTATTGAAATATTTTCAAATATTAGCATCATCCCAACCATAAGTAATGGTGATGGCATTTACAGAGATTGCAGCTTTGATATATACATAGTTATATGTTCACATTTTCTCGTTCATTGGAGTTCTAACTTCAGTAAAAATTAGGTTTCTTTTTTTTTTCTAGTTACAGCCTTGAACACTTGCTGTGACTGTCACTTTACGTTGAATTTATTGTTCAGCATGTAAGTTGTGAGGCTGAGGAGCAATCTGTCATAAGCCATTGTATCAATAATCTCTGAAAGGGTTTGTTTTGGTCCTGGGTGGGAGGTAAGCTTTCTAGATTTGTACCCTCAGTTACAGAGACAATTTGGGCTCAATAGTATTGTTTCAAAGGGATTTGTCTGGGCTGTAACACATTTACTTAAGCACTGTGCTTCTGTACAGGATGGTTATACAGTACTTCAAGCATATAAATGCCTTTCAGGTTTTCTGTACTGAATGATAACTCACCTTGTCTTTCTCGGTGAGGTAGGTAATAAATAGAAATCTGGACTGTAACTGAGACATTCTGACTTAGTTAGATCTTCTGGTGTCCTGAAAAAGACAAGTAGACTCAATTACCATGCCAGAAACTACATAAAGATTGTCAAATTAAATCCAAAAACCTATGTTTAAATAACGGTATGACAAAACCTGAAAAAAGACAAGAATATCAAGCTCTTCTGACATTTTGACCTGAAGTTACAGCACTGTGGAAACAAAGAAAAATATTCTTTAAAACGTGCATTATTGGCTTGAAAGACTGAGGGGTAGGACTCGGTCAAATCCATTTTAAGCCTAGAGATATGGACAAGTGGAGCTGCAGCCATTAATCCATTCTGTGTTGCTGCTTTTTGTTGTGATAATCCCATGGTTTGTTTGTTAAGCATGTAAATACAGAACTAAAAGGGAAAAATAATGCTATGCTACACTTTCTTGGGAGTGTTTTCCACCAGCACCTTGATTAAGTCACCAAAAGCCTTGTGAGTTGGATGAGTGTTATACTGAATTAGCATCACCCACGGCTGGTGGGGAGTCATCCCAAGGTTCAAGCACAACAGCTGTCTAATGGTGTATAGTGACACCACACACCAGGGTGGAAACCGAGGAAGCAATCCACATCCAATTGGAACTGCGGGGACACCTGGGAGAGAATTTAATTATTTCTGTTGGAACTTCTTCAGAACATTGGCTCGGCACCCCAGCCTTGCAGAGCGCGGCGCGGAGACTTTAACGAGCTGCGGTTGTGGAGGGGAGGCTTTCTTTTAGATACCACTGAAAGACAACAACTCAGCACACCTCAGCACCAAGCTGGAAAATGAATCCACTGCTGACTCAGAGGACAGTGCACAAACCAGAATTGTCAGCACTGTTCCTTGCAATAATGTGGGCTTCCTTGGAGGTGTCTCATCCAAGACTGACCTAACTTGATGCATTTTAGCTTGTGAGACAAGGGGCAAGGCTCAAATGCAATATTCCTGTTGGGAGTGGTGTTCTCTCTTCATCTGCTTTTATGCAAAATGCAATGACATATTTAATCAGGGCTTCCCCCTTCCTGCACTAAGATGCTTATTATTTATAAGGAACTGCTTAAATTTTCCAGATAAATATGTATTCAGAGTCTTTCCAAACTATATAATGTGCTCTATAGATCAGAGCAACTCCATTTAAAATTGTTTTTTAAAAACACGAGTTATAATTTGATAGACTGGAACAGCTCTATTGGTTTCATAGATAGCTGGGCATTTATTTTCCACTATAAAGATCATAATATTTACCCAATGGACCAGAACAGCTCCTTCTTAGCCTTTACTCCCTCTATTATGCCACAATTATTTAAATACAGATTCTGCTTGCATTAGTTATTTTGTACCCAAGTGGATGGGGATCACCTGGGTGAGTGAGTAAAAGAGGCAGGGGTTGTCTCATACAACCCATCATCTTCTGAAACACTGGCTGCAGATCTAGAGATAATAGGAAGAGATTAAGAACCGATTGCTGTTTTTATTTATAATGCATCGTTCGGTTCTCCATCCAGTTCAGTGTGAGAGCAGGTTATTCAGCCATGAGTTCTGTGCATTGCAGGTGGGAGATATTTTAAATGCCTACATGCTGACAAGGTGAGTGGTTAGGTCATGATTTTGTTATATACATATAAGTGTGTGTATATACGAAAGCACAAGAATAATTTCTTATTATTATTACTTTCCTGCTTTATTTGTGTATGAGCTCAGAAGGCAGGAGCATAAATCCATACTGCAGGCATATGCACTATTTTGTTATTTATTTTTGGAGAGCCAGTAGAGTGCTTGATACCATAAGGACTTCAGCAGAGGAGATACATGTTCAGAAGCACTTCCCAATGGTATAACTAGAAGTACTTCCAAGTGGTATAAAGTAGATGTTACTGCTGCAGTGGTTTCCTCATGTGTGGGCAGTGTTACCTTAGACTTTCAAAAACCTGGGGATTGATTTACCCACCAAGGAAAATTAGCAGCTGTCAGTGTCATCTGTGGGCATTGGCCTGGGGTTCCCTGATGTTAAACAATGGCCATTTACATACATTTTACATGTCCTTTTATATCACTTAATTTATGTCCTTAATTCCCATATTTAAAAGAAACATTTTGTCTGCATCATATTCCCTTATTTTTCATCAGGCCTTATTCTTCCTCTCATTCCTTTTCATATTTTTGTTTCGTAATGAATTAATACAGAGAGTCAAATGTAGTTATTATGGAACTCAGAACAATACATATCCAAGCCATTTTAACTTGTGCTGAAAGGTATGATCCATCAGGGAACACCCTTCTCTAATTTATTTTTCCAGACTTTGTGTCTCCCTAGGCCAGTATGTCCTCACAGCTCTCAATATGTAGCCATAGAAGCAGAGGTAGATACCATATTTGGTGTGTATGGTTTTCTTTGTTTAAGAGGTTCACCAAAGGTGGTGCATGGTATGATTGTATTTTCACCTACACATGATGATGGCTGAATTGCAGGATGACTAAATTGTTGAATTTCTCTTTTTTTCCACATTATATATTTTATCCAGCTCTGTGATTCCTTTCTCTCACTGTCCCTTTCTTCAAAGAAAATGTCCTGTCATCAAGTTCTCAGTCCTCTATCATGTTCTGCTCGTGCCTCCCCATAGTCAGCTGGTTCAGTTCCAGCTCCACTACAGGCCTCCAAAAACACAAAATATTTTCTTTCTTCCAGAAAGCTAATTCTGATTTATATCCCAGATGAGCAATTCAAAATGCATATGAACAGTGAAACATAGTTTGGGTTTTGAAGTTATGCTGAGTTACAAGAACTGAAATCTCGTGAAGTTCTGCAACTATCTAGTGTGGGGTTTGAGCCAAAGGTATTCTCTGAACTAAACTACTTAAACAAAAAATTTTTCTGATTGAAAAGGGAATGGATGAACATTGAATGTCTGAGCTGCAGAGGTGTGCAGATAGTTACAGGGTGGTTACATGGTCAGTCTGTCCATAGGCTGCTCATAAAAGGCAGTTCTGGCCTTAGTTACATACTCTTGCAATTTAATTCATATTTGCAACCGGTATCTGGACAGGTTAACCTGACTGAGAGCTACTGTCTTTTCTACCCCTCAGTAAGGTTGTTTTTCAGATTGTTCAGTGACCTGACTCTGCTGGGTGTGCATTCACACAACTGCCAGCACCCGGACAATGGAGATTTCAGGGACATGCAGCCCACAGTGAAGATGAAGATGAGACTGGCAGCAGCTTGGGCACCAGCAAAAAGCCTCTCTCTGGGCTGTTTTGACCAGGACAGCACTACAGTCATGGAAGTTAGGCCCATCCATTAATGTCTGTCTAAACAGGGTCATTGCAGGGTCTGTTGGAGGGATCTAATTAGAGGTCTGTTTTTTCTTTAAAAGTCCTTGCCTAGTATTTCCCTTACTTTTCCAAACACCCTGAAGTAGACAATACATCACAATGAGGTCAAAGCAGAGGAAAGGGGAAAAAAATGATTCCCAGCAGCCTCAGAACAATGACAGTTTTCATTTATTATCTAGAAGTCATGTGAGTTTTAAAGTCACCAATCATCATCAAGAAAAGAATGGAGCTAGATGCTTGACAAGGAAGATGCTGTCTGCAGCAGCATAATATTCAATTTACTGCCAAGGCTGCTGACTTCTGAAGCAATAGGAGGATAAGTGAAATAATTGATTTCTTACCTCAAAGGTAACATGGCATAGAATTACTCTAGCTATGTTCATTCTCTCTTTTTTAAGCAACTTTCCAGATTGTATTTTAGTCCTTGAAAAAGTAGAAGTTCTTAAGGCTGTCTTGGAGCCATATCATGAAAAAAAAAATCTTTCTTAGTATGTCAAGGTGCAAAGAAAAACCTGAAATACATACCTACCAAAACCCAGGTTATGTTGTCTGCCTGACAATGCAAACAGCCTGGAACAAAATATAAACTGCCCCTTTGCCATTAATTGTATTCTGCCCTGAGAGCAGCGTGTTCTTGTTGAAGCTTTGGGTGGAGGCTCTTGCAGAATGAGCTGAGGGCATCGGATTTCCTTAACATGACCCTGCCCCATTCCTATGCCTATATATTGTCTATTTAGGGAAACATTCCACTGTCCTTGCTCATGCTGAGCAGCCCCGTGGATATAAATCATCCTGCTGTGGAAGCAGGCACAATTCAGCGTGACTAACGGACCCTTCTGTGCTGATGAACATTAATGGATGTGGCATCATACATCCTTGTAGAGCTGAAATCAGTGGGATTGCTCACAGAGTAAAGTGCTACTCACTGTGAGTAAATGCAGCAACAAGTCACCTATGGATAAGTAAACTGTTTGGGATAGGAGTCTGCCAAATGATAGAAAAGCACTTTCCTGAGCTTAATTAAGTCTTAACTTATATGTTTATGTCAATAATCATGCTTCGCTGTTGGAAAGAGCTGTAAGAACGGTAAGCCAACAAAATACATAGGTACAATTGTATAATCTTACAGTGTGGGACTGTGTCTCTTGAAGTAATTCTCAAACATGTTCAATAAGGGGTAGTTTTTAATGCTCAGCAAGTGGTTAAATTTGACAAACTTAAATATTTTCCAAAACAATTTATGTTTATTAATGGCTACTACAAAATCCATTTGCCCATAATCAAGTGAAACTTGAAGGTGCTGCCTTTCTTAAGTGCCAACAGTCAACAATATTAAAGTAAATAGTGGAGGACATTCCAAGATAGTATTAACACAATTGATTTATTGATGATTGCACAATGGGAGGTTATCTTTTGTTAATTGACTCTGTAAATAAGCTCATAGACGTCTCAAGCGAAGGAAAAAAATCTATTGCTACCAGAAAGTCAACAGGGTGAGTTGGCTGTGCCACTCCATAAAGTGTCTGCTCTGCTGTAAAACTCTGTGTGGCTGGGTAGTGGCTGAGAGGCATTTCTGGCAACAAAACCCAGCAGGTGCTCATGCATACATGGTAAGGGACACTCAAAATGTTGTTAGCTTGGGCCATCCTGGCTGTGAAGAAGACAAGCATGGAAAAAGGAGGGACTGTCCTGG